GACTTACATAAATAAAATCACAAGCTGAAGTGTCTTCATGAGCAGGCACAGACTTATAAACCCCCTAAAAATATTTACTTATTACTGCCTTGTTTTATTGTAAATGGGAAATGTGAAAAGGCTTTGCCTGGTAACTTGAATTTTTTTTTTCCATATTAAATACATACCTTTAGTATAATCACGTTATTCCATCAATCTGCAGGCTTTTAGAAGTTAGCTGATTTTAACAGTTTGACAGGGAACTCTATTACTCAGGCAACACTCACGTTGGAATCAATGAGTGTTTTACTTGAGTAAAAAATTTAGTACCAATGTAAGATGCCTTATTCAAGTTACTTCATAATTATATAGATTATATATGATGACTTAAAAAATAGTGAGCTTTTCTCTCCAAACATAGTAATTTTATTCAGTCTAACTTGCACTTATTAAAAAAATGTGTTTTCTATTCAAAATGTGTGATTCTCATATATAAGAGTTATTGATCATTGATCCAAATAGGAAATAAAACACCTTGATCTTTCAGTCATTTGTCTTAGGAAGATTCCAAAACAGTCCAATCACATTTACTTCACTTCAGTCTTAAATCTGATATTGCCCTGGAAAAACGTTTCATATAATTGAATGCTCGAATACGTTGAGATCATGTCGCATTTCAGTTTTACCAGTATGAGTGCTTTCAGCAGTTTCTGCCCAACATTCCCGGTTTACTAAGCTATATTTAAACATGTTTTGAAAGATTTATACAGTGATTTGCTTCTTAGTCAACTTTGTTGCAAGAAGTTACTACTGTATATTTGGGTAAGAAAATGTGAAGTGCCCGAAGAGGAGAGGAGGGAGGACATGGTGTGGGATATGCCATGATATTTACAAGCTCCAAATAAAATTGGACAGCTTTAAATAACTCCATACCCCAAAATATCTTTGCAGACATTTTAACCTCTTGTCTTGGTATTTTGTACACTGTCAATCCTTTCCAGCATCATCATTTTGAGTCTCTTCATACGAAGCATGCACTTCACATGCACAGGACTTGAGCTTCTGGGTAAAACAACTGGCAGTGACACGAGCCTGCAAGATTAGGCCATATTGTCACAAATCCAAAAGAACATCTTGAAACCAATGCAATTTATAAGTGCACAGTGGTAGCAATATAAAATACAAAATCATTACCCTATCTTGAGGATTCCTTTTATTTCTGTTCATGTGGCACGTATATGTGGCTAAGTGGTAATACATTTCTTTGCAGTGTGGGTCAGTTTCCATGTCAAAGACAACTTTCGTTATTTATTCTAACCTTCAGGGTTGTTTTTTGATATTTTTGTTTGGTTTTATTTGGGTCTTTTTGTTTGTTTGTATTTTTATTTTACTCTGTATATGTTTGTAGCACAATAGTTCGGTTAGGGACTTTGAAAATTGTGCTTTGCTGGTGGGCTTATTTTTTATTTGAGGGCGTGGGTGTATGGAACAAAAATAAACTGAAGGAATAATTGCAGTGTTACAATAGAAAGCCTATACATGCTCTGTTGAATTCCAGCATGTGCTGTCAGAATGGGACATTGCCAGTGATAAAATAAAAGCACTGTGGTGTGCTGATAGGGGTTTGCAGTCATCATGTTTCAGCAAGGGCTTTCCTATCACTGAGATTCTAGGGGAAGATCCTCAGCAATTTTCATGTTTACACCACTGACCTAGAGCTTACTCTGGGCTGTAATATAAAGTAGAGCTGCTGTGGGCTGTAAGGGGGTCCTGTAGCACGAGTCCCCTCTCAGGCCCCCTAATGTGTGTGCAGATACAGCTCTACCTGACACAGATCTTCCTGTCCCTCCTCATTCCCGAGACAAGCTCTGCTATTCCCAGCTGAAGCTGGGAAAATTGGTATAATATGTGAGGTTACACAGGTGCATGCCTCAGTATTAGTGTGATGATTGCTCTAAACATCTCTGGCATAGCTTTGGGTTGCTTCTGGAAAAGTATGTTTAAAATCACTGTTAATCTTGGGCTGCGTTTTTGTATGTTAGTGGTGGTTTATGGTCATCCTGTTGTACAGAGATAGGAGGTGAAAAATTATTAAGATGACAAACAGGCAAATCCAGCTGTTAGGTGAAATTCCCAAATTAGGAGCAGATGCATTTCAGTGGAAATATTTGCACCTTCCACAGTCACGCTACTGTTTTTCTACTTTAACTCTGTGCATAAAAAAGCATCAGGTGTCCAATCTTAAGGTGATTCCTAATCACAGCTGAATGTAATTGCCATTTTTTAGAGCTTGTTATTAGAGTTCTCGTGATTCAGGTGTGGAGGTTACTCTGCCAGTGTAACTAGTAGGTACGAGTTGAGGGACTTCAACCTTGCCGGTGCACTCAGTGCTTTTCTGGGTGCTGGGATGCCTTGACATATGATGGATGCTTTCCAGTAGCTGGGATGCTTTCCACCAGCTGCTAAAAGCCTCCTGAGAGGAACCCCCTTCTGGGTTAAAGCTTTCCATGAGAGGTAAGTGATGTGTTGTGCCCCTGTATAAGTGGATCTGTTTCCTGCACTAGATCCATTTCCATAGCTTTCATGTGCTTGGAGCATGCCTTAGAAACTCATTGTGCTGAGCCTTGTCCACAACTTTTAGCAGTGTCACCCCAGGTAATGTCCATGGGTGGTGATAGCCTAGTCTTTCTTCTTTTCTTTTTTCCCATTCCCCTTCTATTAATATAAATACAACCAAAGCCCCAGCCTTAAGCTTGAAATCAGCCTTAAGCTTAAAAGACTTGAGAAGGAAAATATTCCAGGAAAGCCCGAGCAGTGCAACTGGCTTGATTTTGGCCGAGGAAGGAGGCGTAAGAGGATGGGCAGAGGAGCCAGCAGTGCTCCCTGGCACACGCTCCGAGGGGACGCTGCCTTCCAGCAGGGGGGTCGGAAAGGATTTACAGGGAGCGGTGCCGGCGGGAGGAGCGGGCCGGGATGCGCCCTGCCCTACTCACCCCAATCCTCCGAGGAGTGCCCAGCCACGGCGAGACGGGCGAAGGAGGGAGAAAGTCTCGGGGCAAGGGGTTAAGGAAAACACCGGTGCGGTGCTTTCGCCTTGTGTATTCCCATCTCCTCAATTCTCCTTAAAATTCTCCCCGTCTTTCTCCGGCCCGTGAGAGCGGGCGGGCGGGCGGCAGCGGCGTGCGCTGTCCCGGGGCGCCGGGCGCTGCGGGCTGCTCGGGCAGAGCCCTGACGGCCCCGTCCGCCCTGCGCAGGGTCCCCGCGGCCGCGGCGCGCTCGGCGGCCCCGGGAGCGCGGCGGGCGCTCGGTGCGGGGCCCGCGGCCGCCTCACGGTGGCGCGGTAAGCACATGGACCGGCCCGGGCGGCCGGGAGCGCGCTCCGCTCTGCCTTCCCCGGAATAACAGTCCCGGTAATGTCTCGGATAAATCAAACCGCTGCTACAGCGGCGCAGGGACGGGAGGTGCGCGATGCTCCGCGCCGGCGGAAGGTGTTTCAGCCTCCCCGGTCGGCGCGGATCCCGGCGGCATCGGAGCGAGGGTCTGCGGCATCCCAAGAGCGCGGTCTCACCTGGGGTTAGTTTCCCCCTCCCCCTCTCCGTCTCACTCCTCCCCCAACCCCTCAGGAGAAGTTTGCAAAGAACGTGATGGAGAGTGTAAAGCGGCAGATGCCGACGTTAAGCTCCGGCTCGGTTCGGGCACGGGGAGCTGAGCCACAGCCCCGAGCCGCCGTCCTGGTTAGCGCAGCAGCGCGCCCCTGGCACCCGGGGTACCCGTGGGGGGACAAACACAATGTAGAGTCATCTTACCTCCGAGCCTAGGGAGCAGCCTGCGAGGCAGCAGCGGGAGCAGCGCGGCTCCTGCCTCCCGCCCCGGCCGGTCCGTCCCCGCGCTCCGGCAGCGCCGCCGCGCCCGCCCCGCCGGGCTCCGCTCCCGCCGGGCTCCCCCCGCCCCCGGCGGTCAGTCCCCCGCCTCAGCCCTGCACACATCCGCGAGTCAGGGGCACCGTTCCGAGGCAATCCTTGCCGGTGCAAATCCCCCGAGGCTTCTCTCCGCCAGAGCGTGGAACAAAATTGCCGGTTCCCCTGAGTTTTTGTCAGGCTGTGCTGGCGCTCGGGAGCAGGTAAGGCGGCTGCTGGCTGCCAGCGATCCCCGCTGCACTTGCAGCGAGCAGCAGGAGCCGGTGGAAGTGGGAGTGTGGTCTGCTCTTCATTAGGGAGGGGGGAACGGACCCTGGAGGTGATGCAGTGAAACACTTCTACTCCCTTGCATTGTGTTTGTCACAGACCACGGGCGCTCTCCTTTTATAACATTCACTTCAAGCATTCTCAAACCCAACCGGAATAAGTTCTGATCCTCCCCTTTAGTTTACATTGGGGTTGTCAAAGGATTAAATAAATGAAACTTTATTTGACCGTGGAGTTTACAGACCCTGGGATCCCTGCGCGCTCTGGCCTTATTCTAATTCTATAGCGGTAATTACCCTTCGTTTCTTTAAGTGCAATAGATTTATTGCCTTAGAGACTATGCACAGTTTGATTGAATTATTCATTTTTTTTCTTTGGTGTAGACTGCATCTGGGGACTGATGTGACGTGTAGATTTTTTTTTCAGGAACAAAGGGAATGTGGAAATGAAAGAGAGAGGGAGAGAGAGGCTGGCAGATGTGATGAGATGCGGTGAAGGTGTATCCAGCTTGGCACTCCCACTCCTCTCTTCTCCTCTCATTGCAGCCCTGGGTGACTCTCAGGCTAACACAAACAGCTTTTCTTCCGCAGCCTGCCCTCTGTCACTGTAAGTACAACAGCCTTCTCTTATCAGCATGCAAATTCCAGCCACTCACTACCTTAGCCTGGTGTTTGCACTTTAGATTTACAGAAGGGACCTTTAAAATGAACTTTCCGAGACAGGAAGGGTTTTTCATGTCGAACTTGCTTTTATTTTCTTTGTAAAAGTTTATGTGGTTTTTCCAGTTCTCTCTTCCTCTCTTCACCCCCCCCTCCTCTCCCCCCCCCCCCCCCCCCCCTTTTTTTTTTTTTTTTTTTTTTTTTTTTTTTTTTTTTTTTGAACGGGGGCGTGGAGCGGGGAGATTGTTGCTGCGGCTTTTCCCTTCGCTATCAAGATTATGCACAGTTTAAAATGAAATTAAAATCTCCTTGATCCTTTCTCTGCCAAGACAATACATTTTGTTGGCAGATGACGCTGTAAGGAATTCAGAGTTTTTTCTTTAGCTTTGAGTGTTACTAAATGCAAACGTCCCCTAAATTTGGAGGAGTTAGCCAGAGGTTCTTGTTCTAGGGGAACTCGTATCAGCTGATGGGTTTGCTTTTGAAGAAACGTGCAGTAATTTACTTCTATCTAGTCTAACGAAACTTTTTCCCAATCGGATTATCAGGTTTTAACTTCTTTTCCTTTAGCTTTCTCTCAGATGCTGTTGATTATTTCGCAAAAGTTTCTCTGAACATCTTTAGCAAGCCTGTAACAAACCTTCATTATCGGACAGTGTCCGCAGAGGGAATTTATAAACATGCCTCTTAATTGTCCGGCATTAACTGGGGTGAGAGGGCAGTTTAGAAGTGGGTGAATGACTTTTAAAGTGAAATTTCTTGCCCTTTGAGTCCAAAACTTCTGAGGCTGTTTCGCCAACTCTCCAGGAGTTGCAGGTTTGCTGCTCAGGTTAAAGATGCGGTACGTACAACTTAGCACACAGACAGGTTGCCTCGCTTGTTGAACATTGCTTTACTTTAAGGCATTTGGTGAGACACACGGCGCAAAATGCCATGACAGCTGTGCACAGGTAAGTGCCCCGACCTGATGTGAGCGCCTGAAGTCCCTTCCCTGTGCAGGCACCCCCAGCAGGTCAGCATCCCTCCTCAACATCTGCCTGCCTTTAGCCTTCATGAAGCCAAAGCAAGGGCAGCAGTCACTCCAAAGGCGTTTCTGAACGTGGGGTAACGCTCCAAGTGAAAGCGTTTTCTTGTTTCTCGGCACGTGTATGCGGATCCGCACGGCGGGTGTTCACTTATGCAAACAAAGAGGGAATCACAACTATCCCCGTGCAGCGCGCACACACACACGCTCACATTTGCATACAATGCCCAAGGAATCCTCTTTTCCTGGCACCGAGAAGTTGCCGCTCTCCGGCGCTGTGAGTTACATCTGTAACTTAATTGATCACACGGGGAAGCAACAAGCTGGAGAGCGTTCCTTGCGCTCCGCATGGCAGCGTGGCCGCATCCCTGCCGCGTCCTGCCCCAACCCAGTGGCATTCCCTGCACTGCAATTTCGGGAGTGCAGCGGGATGCTCCCCCGATTTGGAGCTAGGTGGGCGGTTAGATTTATCTGATGCCTTAATTATCTCTTGTCCCATTCCCGCTTTGTATTTAATAAGGCGCTGCATTTGAGGAGGGCTTGGGTTTTTTTCCTTTCTGTTTCTTGGAAGAAAAAAACTTCCAGCAACAAATTACTAGAGTTGCAGACTGAGGCAGACTATTCGTCCTTGTATTCTGGTTTACATCTCTTTTCTTACATAGCTCATTTTAATTTTTTGAAAATCTTTTTGCGTGTCAAAGCTGCACTAGTTGTGCAAAAAGTCAAGGTATTTCCTTTACTTGCAGCAGGTTTAAATGTGTTACAAGGAAAGCGTTAATGGCCAATCACGGGAATTCTTATAATTAAAGATTAAAAAGGACAGAGTAATATCTTGACAGGCAGCTCTTTACTGCTGTTAATCCCATACGCCGGGTAACTGCAGCAAGGTGAATACTTTGAATTAGCCGAATACAGGTGAATACAAACTCAGTATTTACAATCGTACAATTTCCCCTAATCTCTGAATTTCACTTTTTAGTGTCTTTTATTAGAATTGAAAGAATGCATGGGAATTAGCTACTATGCTCTCATCAGCTAATTTGATGATAAAGCTTTACTAGATAATTATAAAGTTCTATTTCAAGGTGCTTGCTACTTGCCGAATAGGACTTGGTTACTCCTTTTATTGTAGTGGAATTGCCAAAAATATCGTATAAAACAGGTCCACTATTCCAAGAGGTTCTGACTTACAACTCCTTTTCCCTGAACCCGGCTCGAGAGGGGCGATAGCACCTCGGATAGCAGAGGATGCAACGTGCATGCCTCCAGCAGTGTGTCGAGTTTTACAGCTTGTTAACAAAATGAATCAGAGCCAGGTCATATCTGTCCTGTGCCATCGCGTTAATGTTCAATTTTCATCACGTCCTGCTGAAGCCAGGTTCATTCGCAGTGGGGCTGAGTGTGCTTCTGGGTCTAACCTAGTCTGCAAATTTCTACTTGAGAGAGAAGGAAAGTGAAATCAGGCTCTCTCCTCGTCTTTTTGGCCTCTATAAGTTATGAAGCTATTTTAAAATTAAAAAGTTTGTCTGTTACTAACTGTTCCAGGCGCCTTCTGGAAAATGGGGAGAAAGTGCCAAAAATACAGAGATGAATCAACAACTTCTCTCTCTCATTTTGTGGGCTTGAGGTTGCTTTCCGCACTCCCATCTTAACAACAGTTTAGCCTAGGTGTGAATAATATCAAAAGAGGGAGACGTTCGCTCTGCAGCGCTGTTTGCCCACCTGATCTGCGGGCCCCTGACAGTTTGAAAGACTCTTTTATGTTTACCTTTGGAATGCAAAAATACAGCAGGGAGACTTTCTTGGGTTTGCAGTACTCTGCCACTGGTTGATTTTCTCCTCAGCTCCTTATAGTTTTTCCCTTCTTTCTCACAGATCTTCCTCCCCCCC